GCAGTTGCAGCTAGCAAGAGATGTTAAGAGTAACAAGAAGGGTTTCTTCAGGTATGTTAGCAACAAGAAGAAAGTCAAGGAAAGTGTGGGCCCCTTACTGAATGAGGGAGGCAACCTAGTGACCGAGGATGTGGAAAAAGCTAATGTACTCAATGCTTTTTTTGCTTCTGTCTTCACGCACAAGATCAGCTCCCAAACTACCGCACTGGGCAGCACAGCATGGGGAGGAGGTGACCAGCCCTCAGTGGAGAAAGAAGTGGTTTGGTTCGGGACTATTTAGAAAAGCTGGACCAGCACAAGTCCATGGGGCCAGATGCACTGCATCCAAGGGTGCTAAAGGAGTTGGCGGATGAGATTGCAGAGCCATTGGCCATTATCTTTGAAAACTCATGGCGATCGGGGGAGGTCCCGGATGACTGGAAAACGGCTAATGTAGTGCCCATCTTTAAAAAAGGGAAGGAGGAGGATCCGGGGAACTACAAGCCAGTCAGCCTCACCTCAGTCCCTGGAAAAATCATGGAGCAGGTCCTCAAGGGATCAATTCTGAAGCACTTAGAGGAGAGGAAGGTGATCAGGAACAGTCAGCATGGATTCACCAAGGGGAAGTTGTGTCTGACTAACCTAATTGCCTTCTATGACGAGATAACTGGCTCTGTGGATGAGGGGAAAGCAGTGGATGTGTTATTCCTTGACTTTAGCAAAGCTTGATACGGTCTCCCCCAGTATTCTTGCCAGCAAGCTAAAGAAGTATGGGCTGGATGAATGGACTATAAAGTGGATAGAAAGCTGGCTAGATCATTGAGCTCAACGGGTAGTGATCAATGGCTCCATGTCTAGTTGGCAGCCGGTATCAAGCGGAGTGCCCCAAGGTAAGGGGGTCATAAGAAAGAGACGACAAGGCTCAGTGGAATAACAGTGCAGATGAGGAGGCTAAGGAAGGAGCTAACGAGGGGACGTTGTGGCAACTGCAATTCCAGTTAGCTCCAATAGCAGTAGTAGAAGGGGATAAAACAGACCAAATAGGTCTAATATCCCTACAGAAAAAAAGTTCCAGCAATAAAAAGGCTTGTAGCTAAAGGGGAATATCAAGGTTGGAGAATTTGGCTGCATAATACAGGATTAATTTTAGCTACCAAAATGGGGAAAATGTTGCCAGCATGGGTTGTCTCAACTGAAATAAGATCTGAAATGGTAACCCTAGTCCATAATAATGGACATCTAGACATGGAGAAAACTCTCAGCAGGCTGCAAGCAGCAGCTGGTGGCCAACTATGAGAACCGCTATAGAGCAGTATGTAAATAATTGCTTGCCTTGGGCTGCCAATAATGCAGATATTGGACGGGTAGAAGGACCCCCCCCGAGTCATCAAAGGATAGAGGGTCCCTGGGCCAGAATACAAATTGATTGTATCGGTCCATTACCTAAAACTGCAAAAGGAAACCGATATTATCTACAAAAAGAACAGGAGTACTTGTGGCACCTTAGAGACTAACAAATGTGTTAGTCTCTAAGGTGCCACAAGTACTCTTGTTCTTTTTGCGGATACAGACTAACATGGCTGCTACTCTGAAACCTGTCAATATTATCTAGTAATAATTCAGTGTGAGACCAAAGGAAAAGTGACAGAAGGAAAGAGTGAAGTGAAAAATGGTGTCTCTCTCCTGTCCCTCGCCCCTGGGGGTGTCACAGCCAGATGGAGCTTTGGGACGGGCACTGAAGATGAATCCTGCATCCAAATAGCACTGCCGAGGGGCCATAGGAATCAGAGAATTCCCAGAACTGGGAAAGGGCAAGAGGACACTGCCCTTGTAGCATGATACCCACTATAGAGCCCCCCCACCTGCTCCTTGCAGCACAGTGTCCCCTACTGAGTGCCCATCCCACTCTCTGCAGCGCCCCCTAGCACCACAGTGGGTTACTGGGCTGAGCACCACTCTCATTGCCCTCCAGGCAGTGTGGGCCCCTGAAAGTAGGCCAGGCTCAAGGCTCAGGCAACCATGCTGGGGTGGCTGCATCTGCCTTCTTCCCTGGTTCCTGCCACTGCATGTGCTCCTGGACTCTGCCCACGGGCCAAGCTAGGGTCAGCATGGCATGTGGGGTCCCATAGCAACAGTCACACCCACAGCAGGGGGCCCACTGGAGCAACAGGGGTGCCCTTCCCAAGCTCCACCTACAACACAAGCTTGTATCTGAAGACAAACAATAAGCCCCACCTTTTCAGCCATTGAAGATGTGGGTTATTGTTCATAGATGGGAATTCATTGGACTTGAACCTAACTTTGTGTGTTTGTACCACTGTGTTTTAGTTAATAAAACATGCGATTTGGGATTTCATGTCAATATTCCTTGACCCTGGGCACTTTACAGAGTTGAGAAGTTGATGACGATGACTCAAACCATGCCAATGCTATGGAAAAACTGGTATTTTGTTTTGAGTTTTTCCTTCAATTTATTTGAAAGTTCCAGGAAAAAAACAACCCTCACAAAACAAATTTTAAAAGTACAAATATTAGGAATACAACATTTCCATGACAGCCAGTCATCTCAGTACAGTCTCCATGGCTCAGAGCATGGTAGAGGTTAACCAATGTGTTATCCACAACACACATAAGGGACATGTGACTCTAACTTACAGCCTCCTTCACATCCCAGTGAGTGTTCAAATCTCCAAGCAGCCTGGCACAATCTCCCCAGTGGAGCTATGGCCAACTTACTCCAGCTAGGGATCTGGCCCCATTGACTCTGTTGGAACTATACCTGATTTATGCCAGATGGGAATCTGGTTTAGCAGACTATACCCCTTGTGTTGTTACATCTGCAAGCTGAGATCTCCGAGACATAGACTGTTACTAGTGACCCAAACTCAATGACTGAATAGTTCAAATGTTTTGATTCCAGCCTTTCAACCTTCCATTGGATGAAAAGTTTTTGCTCTCCCAATGCAATTCTGCCTGGGGAAGCTCCCAGCCAGCTGATCTCTTTCTGCTTTTGTCTGTGAGATTAAAGACCCCTCAGAAATCGAGAGAGATGAATCTAGTTGAGGAGTGAATTCTAAGTGGATTGTGGGAAAATACAGCACAAGAACATCTGTTTGACATTCCCGGTGCATGTCTGACTGGGTGCAACCACAGGTTGTGTTGGCTGGGCAATGTATAACCTCTATTGAAAAGAGCCAGTTGGAACTTTTCTGATGGCATATATCTCCTTCAGAAACTGCCATTTCATTGCGTGGAAATGCATCAATTTCATTTAGGAAAAAAACTGGAACAAAATACTTTGACCTTTAGCGGAACATTTTGATTTCCCATTTCCAAATGACGTTGCCTTTCAATTTTTTAAATTGCGTCTTACATATATTTTTAAATGGTATATTATGTTATATAATAAAAAATGAAAAATTCTAACCCAGAACAAATTGTTTTGGTCAACACTAGATGTTCCCTCCCACGGATTTTGTTTTAGGGGAAGTTTTGAATTTGTTTCTTTTCATTCTGTTTTGGAATGGATGTTTCTCCCCTCCCCCCCCCCAAAAAAAATCACAGGATTTCCCATGAAATGGAAAACCATCCAGATCCATCGATGAGTCCACCGTGTCGCTGTTTTAGCCCAAGCAGGAGAGGCAGGTGCGTGTCCAATTGTGTGTACTCCTCTGCTGCCCTCTGTTGGCTGGGCAATGTATTGTGGTTTGTAATTCCCATCATGTCTCTGAGTTATCACAAACATTGGAGGCGTGTGATGTTAGACCCATAGTCCCCACGGCGAGCACCATTATGTGGGTGTGGTGGAGGGCTGCGAGGCTGTGTGGGTCCTTTGGTGCTGCAGATAGCCTGAGCTCTGCCGGAAGCTCTTGCCGCATTGGTGGCAGCGGTAAGGTTTTTCACCGGTGTGGATGCGCTGGTGGGTGAGCAGGTTGGAGTTCTGGCTAAAGGCCTTGCCACACTGCGGGCACTTGTACGGGCGCTCACCGGTGTGGGTGGTCTGGTGCTGGATGTAGGTGGAGCTCTGGCTGAAGCCCTTGCCGCATTGGTGGCAGTGGTAGGGTCGCTCCCCAGTGTGAGTGCGCTGGTGGGTAACCAGATGGGCGCTGCGCCCAAAGGCGCGCCCGCAGTCCGGGCACTTGTAAGGCCGCTCACCAGTGTGTGAGGCCTGGTGAGTGATGAGGTTGGAGCTCTGACTGAAGGCCTTGCCGCATTGGTGGCAATGGTAGGATCTCTCACCTGTGTGGGCCCGGCGGTGCTGGGCCAGGGCAGAGCTCTGCCCAAAGCACTTCCCGCACTCACCGCACTGGTATGGTTTCTCACCGGTGTGGATGCGGAGGTGCTGGGCCAGTGTGGAGCCCTGTGTGAAGCTGCGCCCACACTCGGGGCACTGGTATGGTTTCTCCGCCAAGTGCACACCTTGGTGCTTGAGCAGGGACGAGCGCTCCACGAAGACCCGTCCGCACTGGGGGCACTCGTGGCGCTTGACCCCTGCGTGCACCCGCTGGTGGGTCAGCAGGTTGGCATTCTGGCTGAAACCGCGGCCGCACTGTGGGCAGCGGTAGGGCTTCTCACCTGTGTGGGTGCGCCGGTGCGTGGTCAGGTTGGAGCTCTGGGCGAAGCGCTTGCCGCAGTCAGCGCACTGGTAGGGGCGTTCCCCCCGGTGAATGCGCTGGTGCTGGCACAGGGCTGAGCTCCAGCTGAAGCGCTTGCCGCAGTCAGGGCACTGGTAGGGACGGTCCCCGGTGTGTGTGATCTGGTGCTGCAGCAGGTGGGAGCTCTGCCCAAAGGTCTTGTCGCACTCGCTGCACCGGAATGGCTTCTCGGCTGGCTGGGGGGCAGAGGTGAGATCTCCAAGCACCCCATCCAGTGGAGGGGCAGAAGTGGGATCCCCAAACACCTCTTCTTTGTTGCACCGGAAGGGCTTCTTGTCCTGCCGGGGGTTAGCAGTGGGATCCCTGAGTACCTCGTCCCCACAGCCAGTGGAGTCTGCCAGGTTCTCCCAGAGGGGGAATGGGCACAGGGAGCTGTGGGCAGAATGGAACGTCCCTACAGTGTTGGCATCTTCCTTGCTCAGTGTCCTGTCAACAGCTGGAATGAAGAGACAATCCAGATCAGAGTCAATTCCTGAGTCAGTCTGTTGTTAGAACATCTACGGCAGGGGCACCTATGAATGGGGATGGTGCAGGGCTTAGGGCACTGGACCGGGAGTCAGGAGATCTGGGTTCAATTTCCTGCTCTGAAACGGACTTCCTGAGTGATGCTGGGTGAACCTCTCTGGGCCTCAGTTCCCCACCTTTAGTCTGATCCTTCCCGGCCTCACAGGCTGTGTGCGGCTAAACTCATAAATGATTGTGAGGTGCTCAGACCCGGCACTGGTGAGGCCAGATAAATAACACGGATAGATACATGTGCCAAATAAGAGCAGGACTCCGCTGGGCCGGGCCCTGCAAGACAGAGTGATGGAGAGTGGGACCCTGTCATGCTGGGTGGTGCACAGGCCCCCCCTGAAGTGAGATTGGGATGCTGGGCACTGCATGGACACAGAGTGATTCAGATCGGTGGGGTGGGTGAGGCATCGGGACCAAGATCAGCGTGCCAATAGCTGCACAGACACACAGTGACTGAGATCAGGGCCCAGTCGCGCCGGGCGCTGCACAGACACACAGCGACTGAGATCAGGGCCCCGTCGCGCCGGGCGCTGCACAGACACACAGCGACTGAGATCAGGGCCCCGTTGCGCCGGGCGCTGCACAGACACACAGCGACTGAGATCAGGGCCCCGTCGCGCCGGGCACTGCACAGATATGCAATAAGGGCAGGGGATGGAGAAGTGATTTGTTACCCATTTCAAGGGGCTCCTCTTTTATGTCACAAAGAAGCTCACGTTGGTGTCCTGTTTCCTCGAGAGGCTGGGGCTTCTCTTTGGTGATACAGAGCAGCTCAGAGTGGGGTCTTGCTAGTTCACCCTTTCCCTCCTTCTCCTGGGATACGCACTCAGGATGGAGCTGTGGCTGGTCCAGCTGGGAACCAGGAGATTCCCATAATGCCCCAGGGGATGCCATCTTCTCTGAGGTCACTCATTCAACCTTCACTCGCATGCACCGCGTCCTGGGGAAGAGCGGAACGGGTCACCATGGGGCCAGGGCCTGGGACCCACGGGGGAGAGTGGGCTGTGAGAGGGGAGACTGCAGGGAATAGGGAGGGGAGCACAGACCAGCAGGGGGCGCTGTGGGGGTGTGGGGGAGAGAGGGGCCAGTAGCCAGGCTGGGTCTGTCGGCGCTTCCCCCAGGCACAGCTCTGCCAATGCTCCCCCACCCCCACTGCCCCAGCCCTGTTCCCAGCTCATACCGCCCCGGAGCTGGCTGGGGAGCGGGGGTCTCTCCAGTCCGATCCCCTCCTCCCTGCAGCGGCTTCCCCCGGGCAGCGATTTCCTGCCTCCGCGGCTGTTTCTCTCCCTCCCTCCCTCCCCGGTGCCCCTCGCTGCAGCCCGGCACCCCCCACTCACCGCCCGGCGGGGGCGATCCCCGCAGACCCCGCTG